CTCAGGCATTTCATTATAGTAAGAGAAAATAGAATAATACAGCTTTCTTGATCTTCCCTGAAGACACCCAGCAGGGCCTTTGCACTCCCCTCACCTGGGTATCTGCAGGTGGCTCATTTGCTTCCTTCAGGTCTCTGTTCAGAGGACACCTCCTCAAAGAAGCCTTTGCTGACATCCTCCCTTTCTAATGGACGCCCCTGTCTTCACCCTGCTTCATTTCTTTCCATAGCACCTGCCCCACCTGGCAACATGTCTTCTTCCCTGTTCATGACTGCCTGTCCTTTTGCAACTGTGGAGACATCCTGTTCACTATTGTCTTGCCACATTGGCCCCAAATCCAGCCCACAGCAGGCCTTGGGAGAGATGTGGTCACTGAATGAAAGCGGTGATCTAGATCCACGTGACCTGAGGCAAATCCCGGGCTCCATCCCCAACATGGTGACATCTGGGGGTCTCAGGCCAGCTCTGCAGTCTGAGCCTCAGGGCTGGGAGGAGCTGGAGAACAGGGACCCAGGGACAAGGTGCACCAGGAAGCAGGAATGGCCATACAGAGGCCCCACGGCAGCAGTGGGAGGTGACAGGAGAGGGGCTGGCGCATTGTCAGGGCCTTAAATGCCAAGGATCCATCCCCCATCTCTGGCCTCACCTTGCAGAGGGCGCTGTCCCCCGGGGCGCAAGACGGACCTGACCAGGCCAGAGATCTGCTACTGCCCACCACCCGGAGGGTCCTCACTCCAGGCCGTGCCTCCTGTCACTCACCCCTGCCCCCGACCTTCCCCCCAGTCTGTGACTCCACCTCCTCCCTCCTCTCTGACTTTGCTCAAATGTGACCACACTCGTGTCATTCTCTGGGCAAGAACACTTGGTGCCCACTTGACACTCAGGACATCAGCCAGCACCTCCCACACAGGGGCCACCAGAACCCGGCCACCCTCGTAGCCAGAGGGATCCTCTTTTCATGTAAAGGCAAGGTCACTGCCCAACTGTGCCCAAGGTCTCAGCACTGTCCAGCAGAACTTTGAACTCTCTCTGCACTGTTGATTCATTAACCCCTGAAATGTGCCCAGCAGAGCGGAAGGACTGAGTTTTAAATTTCTGTGACTTGACTTATTTAATGGCCACATCAGGTCAGCAAGGCTGGGGAAACATGTGGCTGTCAAAACCCAGCTCGTGGGGATATAAATTAGTAGAGGATTCCAGTGGCAAGATCTACCCACCTGCCAATCCATTCGTCTGCTTCTATTAAAATGCAATCAAAAGGCATTTAACATCTGTCCCAGCCACCCCACCTCAGAGGTGTGTGCTACTGGTCTACCTGCACCCACAAGCATGATGACATTAAGTTTGTAACCTGCAAAGAGGAAGCCACACAATCTCCGTCCACAAGTGGCCAGTTAGCTGAATTACGGTCCAGCCACATTGTGGAATATGATGCAGCCGTGAAAAAAAAAAAAAGAGTGTGGCAATGTGACACCTAAGGCACACACACACACACACAAAAAAAAAAAACAGATAAATGGACTTCACCCAAAGTAAAATATGTGCTTGTCTATTAAGATAGTAAAATGACAACCAACAGGATAGTAGAAAATATATCCAAAACATCTATCTGATGAAAAGTTAACGACCACATTATATAAAGAACTCTTACAATTCAACAACAAAAAGATAAATAAGCCAGGCCTGGTGGCGCATGCCTGTGAACCCCAGCAACTCAAGACACAAAGGCAGGAGGATTGTAAGTTCAAGGTAATCTGGGGAATTTAGGGAGAAACTGTCTTATGGATTCAATGCCCAGTACAAAAAAATAAACAAGGCAAAACCAACACTTTTTAAATGGGCAAAGGACTGAATAGATATTTCTCCAAAAAAAGATCAGTGAATGGGCAACCAGCACCTGGAAGGATGGTCGATCATCACCCATCGGGAACGGAAACCAAACCACAGAGGGGTGTCGGCCCCTTTGCCAGAAGGTTGAAGTCTGAAGTGGAAAGTGGCCAACCCGTGGAGGTGGGGGGGGGCAAGGGACGTGGCACAGGGCTGTGGGTGTGCACGGTGCGGCTGCCGCGGCAAAGGGCTCACCACACCTGGCCCAGCAGTTCCACTCCGAGGTCCGCCCCTAGGCAACTGGAAAACCCGCTCTACGTGAAACCTTGGCACCAGCGTGCCCAGGGGCCCTGCTCGGGCCCCAGGTGGAAACAAACCGAGTGCCATCAGTGGAACACTTAAACACACGGGGACATTGGAACAGGATCTGCCCCTGTGACGGGCTAAGGTCCTGGGCGAGCTTCAGTGGGGACGAGTCTCAGCGAGGGGGAGAAGCAGGCGCAGAGGCTGCGGGTTCGTGGTCTGTAGTCTGAAAAGCCACAGGAAGCGGATCCACGGAGGCAGGAAGTGGACAGTGGAGACCGGGGGCTGGGGACGAGGACCCACTGCTAATGGATCCACGGCTTCTTCTGGGAATGACGACTGTGTTCTTGAATTAGTCAGTGGTGATGATCACACAATTTTGTGAATACACTAAAAACCGCTGAGTTAGACACTTTAATAAGGTACACGCTGCATGTTAAAAAGTGTGTAATTTATATCTTTAAAAGAGCGTGGCGGGGGGGGGGGGGAGCCGGGGCGGTGGTGGGCACCTGTAATCCCAGCAACTCTGGAGGCTGAGGCAGGAGGATTGCAAGTTCAAAGCCAGCCTCAGCAACTTAGCGAGGCCATAAGCAACTTAGCGAGACCCTGTCTCAGAATAAGATATAAAAAGGGCTGGGAGTGTGGCTCAGTGGTCAGCACCCCTGGGTTCACTCCGACTGCTAGGACAAGATTAAAAACAATGACCCCAGAGCAGAAGAGTAAGGTACCTTTTGAGTAAAAAGAGAAGGACAATAGCAATAAGTATTCATTTTGTCTGTATTTGCATAAAACTTGTACGATGCACAAGAAACTCATTCCCAGGTAACTCATTTCCTGGGGTAGACTGGAGAAGGGTGGGGGGGTAGTATAGTCTGATGTATATCCTTTTATGTCATTTTGATTTTCAAAGCATGTGTCTTACCTATTAAAAATGAAATAATTTTTTAAAGTGGAAGTCAGATCTTGCCATTTCTCTGCTCAAAACCCTGCGTGGAGGGGACGCCCGGGTCATTTAAAGTAAGACTTTATAACCCTTCCAAGGCCCGGCCTCCAGCCTGCCCCCCAGCTCCCTCCCACCCCCTGGCTCTCTCATCTGCCTTCTTGCTGTTTCTGGAACACCACAAGCAAGTTCCTCACTTGGGACCTTTGCACTCATGGCTCCTCAGCTTGGAATCAGTTGTCCCAGCCATCTGCACAGCTGGTTTCCTTCTCCTTTAGCCTTGGCTCAAATGTCACCTTCTTGAACAAATGGCCTCTACCCTCACCTTCCAGGAGAGCCAGCACCCTGCGCTGCCGGCTTCTTTAGAACAGCTGGGCCGCCTGCCCTCCACACCCAAGTGTGGAGTGAGTGGGCGGAGCGCCACCAGGCCCTGGCCACTGGAGGGGGCCTGTGGACACCAGCCACTTCATCCTGCTTGGCGCCTCGGGGCACAGAGCAAGCAAGCTTTGAAATCTGAGATCCAGGCCCCACCAAAGCAAGGCAAGAAAACCTCCTGGGTTAAAACCCAACCCAGCAGCTAAACCTGGCGCAAGGCCAGACACTTCACCAGAATTTGCCAGGACTTGGGCTGCAGCCGGTAAGGGCCATTCCAAGGTGGCTCTTCGTCTCTGGGAGGAGATATGGGAAGGTGACAGAAAGGGACATGAGACTGACCAGGGGCAGTGGCCACCCAGGGTAGGAATGCTCAGAAAATAGCCCCGGGGAGGCTGGAAGCTGAGGAATTCAGAGCTTAAATCCTGCGAGAGAGAGGAATGAAGATGGAGCTTCTGAATGAAATCCTGGAAGAGCCTCCCTCCCCTCCTGGAACCTCTTAGGTCCTTCCCGGCCTCCAGGCAGCTCCCACTTGATGGCAGCATGTGGAATTTAAGTGAGCAATTACTTCTGCAGTCAGCTAGACCTGGGGTAAAGCCGGCTGCTGCCATTTACCTGCCCCAGTATTGAAGGCATCTGGCTGAGCCGGACGCATTCAAGCATTTCTGGAGAGTCTACAGCATGCCAGCTGCTCCTCCGGCCAGTGGGGGTTCCCCTGGGAACAAAGGAAGTCCCTGCCCTCAGGAGACTGTTTCATGGTAGAGCAGACAGGAACTGCAAGTTCACTGCTCACCAGACAAGCCTGTGAAGACAAAACAGGGTGATGTCACAGTGCCTGGAGGAGGGGGCACCTCTGAGCAGGGAGTCACGGGGGCCTCTCTGGGTGTCCCTTCTCCAACCCTCGGCCCGGCGCCTGGCTGCTAGGGAGCGCTCAACTAATCTTACAGTGACTTCTAGGGTCCTTTTCATCAGTTTACTGTCCCCGCCCCGGAAAGAATATGAGTTGGGGCCGGGACAGGCTCGAGGTGTCTTCTCCCCGGCTCCTAGTGCGCGGCACGTAGCTGGTGGGCGCCAGGTCCTGGTAAGGTCTGCACACAGTAGGCTGCCCCGCTAGAAGCCGCCCTCGAGTGCCCGCCGGGCCCCCGGCTCCAGCCCGGCGCCTCCCCTCGCGTACTTTGCACAGTGGGCGCTTAATGGCACGCGCTGGAGGAGCGCCCGCCCTGGCCCGGCCCAGGCCCTCTGCACCCACTGCTAAGCCGGGCGGCGGGCGGCGACGTGCCGGGATTCCAGAAGGCCAGCGCGCGGCCGGCGGGGGGCGGAGCAGGGCAGGCGGGGACGCGCCGCCACCCCACGCTTCCGCGCCCAGCTGCGCCCAGCTGCGGCCCCGCCCCCGGCGCCGCGGTTGGCTGCGGCTCGGGGGCCGCCGATTGGCTGGCGCGTTTCCGGTGCGGGCCCCGATTGGCTGTGACGCGAGGCCGGGCAAGGCCCCCGCCCGCGCCGCCGCCGCGCCCAGCGCCGGGCGGTCATTGGGCGGCGTGATCTCGCCGCGGTTCCGCGGCTGTGCCGCCGCCGCCGCCGCCGCCGCCGCCAGCAGAGCGCACCGGGCGGGCCGGGCGAGTGGCCATGGCGGGCGCCGAGGACGGGCCGGGCCAGCAGCCGGAGCTCGACGAGGATGAGGCAGCGTATTGCCGGCGCTGGGGCGCGCAGCACGCCGGGGCCCGCGAGCTGGCCGCGCTCTACTCGCCAGGTAGGACCTCCGGGCCCCCCTCCGGGCCTGCAGTCACCAACCCGGCTGCGGACAGCGACCCTGGGCTCCCCAGGTCGGAACGTCAGCCTGGGGCCCAGATGGGGAACTCCAGCCCGGGCTTCCAACTTGCAAATAACGCCCCCAGGTCCGGGGTCCCCATCCCACCGTCCTCTCCAAGCCCAAGCCTGAACCCCAGCTCCGGGGCTTCCTGGCTGCAGAGACACTCCCAGATCAATGATACCACCCCATCAGGTCCCGCGTCCCCAGGCAGCTTCCATGCGACCCGCACATCCGGAATCCTATCCCCGGAGCGCTGCGGGCTGCAGTGAGCGCCCCTAGACTTGGGAACCTTCACTTCAGGACCAAGACTGAGGCAGCCGCTTGGCTACAGGCGCTGTCCCCGGCCACCTAAAAGTCACGTCCCATCCTGGCTTCCCCCGGATCCGGAATCTACCCAGAGTTCCCATCTGTATTTTTGCTAGGGTCCTGGGCTGCAGATGGTGACCTCACCCCACTCATCCTAGGAACCCTAATTTGGAGGCTGCAGAATAGGCCAGAGGCCTTTCCCGGCGTCTTCGTTATCTCCCTTACCCCCGTGGCACCCTCCAGTGCAGAGCATCACCCTTTGCCCCAGGCTCCTGGATTCCAAGAGTGGGAGGATGCAAGCCCCCCCAGTGTAAGCTCCCCCTGTACACAAGCCCCAACTCCAGCCGTCGCCTCTCCCCACGTTCGTAGGTCATCCCCCTCCATTAAGACTTGGTTGTGGAGCCCTGTGCTCCTCAGACGACTGGGATCCTTGCTTCGGCTCTGCCCCTTTGCCACCGGCCAAGGTTCCTCCTGGTTTCTTCCTGCTTTGTCCAACATTCATGCTTCAGTAACCGCCAACCCCCACCCTGTTCCCGGACTCCACGGGAACCCCCAGGACCTTGCTGCCTGCTTCCCCTGGAGGGGGACTCCAGAGTGAGGTGAAGGGAGCTGCCTGGGGTCCCTCCGCCAGCCTGTTGCCATCACTCAAGCTTTGTCTGTGGAACATTCTGACATCTTGTTTTGCCAGGATAGATGCCACCATGCACTGTCCTAGCCTGCGTGGGCCTGGGGCCTCCACCCTCTTGGCTTCCTGCCCCGACAGCCCGTGTTCAGTGCAGTCTCAGCCCTAAGGGACCTTTGCGGGACCTTGGGGCCTTTGCTTTTCCTCTGTGGGTCCTGGATCTCCGGGGTCTGTGCCCTTCCAGGGCCGAGCTGCGTGTGTGCAGTTTTTCAGACCTGACTGGGCACCTGCTCCTGCTGCCCAAAACACCCGGCCTCTAGATGGAAACCTCCTGCTCTCCCTGGGGGAGGGGGCTGGCCCCGAGGGACTTGGCTGTGTGACCTGGGCCAGGCCACTTTTCCTCCCCGGCTTCAGTTTCCTCACCTCTGAACAAGCACAGGATAAAGTGTGGGCGCCCAGTTAGGAAAGGAAGTGAGGGCAGCGCTCCCTCAGCTGACCCAGGACCTCTGCTGTGAGCCCAGAGAAGCCGGCTTGTCTCTGTGGTCCTCAGGCTCCCCCCTGGGAATGGAGGGCCAAGGCTTGAAGGCCTCCACTGGACAGCCAGCCCTGCCCACCTGCCTGCCTTCGGCCAGCCCAGACGGTCGGCAGGCATTGCAAGCCCTCACCTCGCACTCCATCGTGACTGCGTGTCTGCCCATATCTGATTCTGGTTCCCCAAGCATCCTTCTCTCTGAAGAATAGCCCCTCTGTCTGCAGCCTCCTGCTACCCCAAACCATGGTCAAGACCTTCTGTCCTCCTGGCCTGGAGGGGAAAGGAGAGCCTGGTCAAACCGATTCTTCCAAATTACTTTCCATCGGCTTCTGTCTCCTCACTGTGTGGCCTTGGGGAAGTACCTTGACCTCTCTGGACCTGATCTGAGAAACACCTATATTCCTGTCCCTGTTCCAGGCCTTGGGTAGAGCAACAAACAAGACAGAAAACCTAGAGCGGTATTTTAGTAGGAAAACAGTCAGTTTTTCAAAATAAGGAAACGTTTTCGCTCTGTGAAATACATACAGCAGGAAAGAGAGAAGGCTAGGGAGGGGGTGATATTCCAGAGAGAGGCAGCAGGCCTCTGAGCAGAGGACATTTGCACAGAGACCTGAAGGGGAGAAAGGAAGAGGGAAGAACCTTAAAGATATTTGAAGAAGGGTTCCATCCAGACCAGGGTAACAGCAGTTGCAAAGGCCCTGCGGTGGGCTTGCGCTGGGCACATTTATAGAATGCAGGGAGCCTGTGGGCCATGATGGTGAGCAGGGAGAGGGGGGAGGGGTTTCTGGGTTCTGGGACTGAATTCTTGAGATTCCTGAGCCAGGGGTGGTTTGGCACTTGACAGTTCATGGTGGATACCAAGGGCAGTTGATGCATTCAACATCTATTGAGCACCAACTGTGTGCCAGGCTTTTCCTCACAGGCTCTTTCTTGGTTCATCCCCACTCCAGCTGTGAGGTCTGCCTGGTGTCACCTCTGCTTTCCGGAGGAAGAGGAGGCTGAGGCCTCCGTTAGCCCCTCACCCACACCAGGCACACACCTGTCCTGCATGCCAGTCCTGGTTGGGATGAGGCATGTCTGTCCCCAGCAGATGGGAAGGTCAGCGAGGGCAGGGAGGGAGTGTGCTGAGCAGCCCCCGCCCGCCTCTGTCGAGAGGGTCCTGAGGCAGAGCAGTGACCTGCCCAAGGTCACGCAGCCGGTCAGCAGCAGCGCTGGACTGGCGCGTGCTGGGGCCCTCCCTCTCAGTGCTGGAGCTGGCTGGGCGCCATGCCTCTGAGCTGCACCCAGTGCTTTTCATTTTCACTTGGAGGCAGGTCTTGTCGGTCTCCAAGGCTGGCCTCAGCCTCCCGAGTTGGTGGGTTTGTGGGTGCGCCCCGCGGAGCCAGGGAGGGTTCTGCATTCTTAACTGTCCCTTTGAAGGGAGCCAACCAGGGACCGGGGTCGAGGCCAGGGGACAATGCTCCAGGTTAGCAGAATGGCGCTTGTGCGGGGCTGTGTCGGAGCGGCCTGGTACGCAGAGCAGTGGGGGTGTGTGCGGGTGGCCGAGGGCAGGGGACCTGTGAATGGTGAGGCAGGGGGGACAGCAGCCGGGTCCCAGCTGATCCTGGGGACCTGGGAGCCACAGAGGGGCCTACGCAGCACCCCACTCTGGGTTTGACTTTCACAGCCACAAAAGACCCCATGCCAAGTGTCCGGGTGTGGAGGGTCTGGGGTCCTGGAGGGCAGGCACATATCCAGCCTCCAGCAGGTGCCACTGAAACCTGGCTGTGTGTGTGCCACTTCTCAGGTGTCCCAGACTGCTGGGCTGGGGGGCCTGAGGGTCCCGATCTGGCTGCCCACTCCCCCGATCTGGCTGCCCACTCCCCCGGCCAGCCTGGGGCGCCCCGCCCTGGGGAGGGGGCTCTGGGTGGGTGGGGAGGGTGGGGGTGTCCTTTCTCTTCCTTCCTGCTGGATTCCCACTGTCATCTCTGTCCCTCTGTCCTGGTCCCCTCCCTCTCTGGGAGGCCCAGGGTCTCTGGGTGGTCGGGGGCAGTCAGAAGCGCAGGTTATTTGGCGTTTCTCCGTCAGAGCAGGACGGGGCAGCCTGATGGCGAGCCTCGGCTGTGGCCTGCCCCACCAGCCTGCACGCGGCCCTGCCCTCCCCGGCCAGTGGGCGGCCACTGCTTTAGCTGAGCCTCAGTCGCCCATGTCTGCCGAGCCTGGGCTGGTGGAGAGGGGCTCAGCGCTGGAGCCAGCGGAGGTGGGCGACCTGGCGAAGCCCTGCACCCGCCCACCCTCCGCCTGCCCATCTCAAGTGGCAGCGTTCAGGCTGCCTGCCCTCCCGGGCCTGGGGGGCTGAGGGTCCAAGCCTTGACCATCGAGTGGCCTTGGGCAGGTCACTCTATCTTTCCAGGCTGTTTTCTCCCTCTCAGGGGTGGGGGGAGGTCCCCAGCTGGGAGGTGTGAGGGGGGCTGCGGCCGTCCTTAGCACCGCACCCCGCTCCTACCGGCGACCTCGAGGACTGGTGACCGTCGTGTGTGGATTTTCTGTGGATCAGAACTGAGGGGCACAGGGACCCAGATTCCACGGGGGGGATGGAGTTTAGGTGGGAACATTCAGGTACCGGGATGTTTTTCGTGGATGGGGAAGAGCGGGGGTCATCTCTGGACTCAGGACGTCCTGTTCCGTTTACGAGTCCAGGATCCACCCCAGCTCTGAGCCTCAGCGTCCTCACCTGGGGAAGAGGGTTGCAGATCCTTCTTTGAAGGGGCTGAGACTTGAACGTGACCCCCTCCTCAGATGACCGCACAAGCCCGGCCTGGCTGCCCCTGAGGCCGCGTGAGGACACAGGCAGGGCGGACCCCGTCAGATGAGGTGGCCAGAGTGGCCAGAGCCTGTGTTCTCCAGGGAAGCGGGAAACTAGGAATTCATGTGATTTTTAAATTTAGCTCATTTAAAAGAAAAACGGAGCAAATCCTTCCCTGGGGTCCAGCATCTCTGGTGTGGGCCTGGCTGGACTCCACAAGCAGCCAGTGGACATGGGCATCGTGACTGCTGCTGTTGTCTGACCCCGTGCTGCTGCCCACTCTGCCCCCTCTGTCCTGCAGGCTGAGGGGGAGGCTGGCAGGGAGGGGTCACCTGTCCTGGTTCCTGCTGGGGCTCACAGCCCCCGCCCTCCACCCACCCCAGGGCTTCCTGATTCTGAGCCCTGGGCCCTGGACAAACAGGAACTGGAAAGGGGAAGGCCCTGGGCTGGGGCTGCTGATGGTGGCCCTGGGCTGGAGCTGCCCATGGTGGCCCCGGGCTGGGGCTCTGGGGCAGGGGGCTCCGTGGGGGACCAGGCCGGGCTGCGGTAGGCCCACTCCTGCTTCTGGGCCCTCTGCGGAAGTCCTTGCTCTTTCTTGGCCTCTGGCCTTTTCTGAACAAGAGGCCACGGGGATGGGACCCTGGCGTTCCCCTGGCCAGTCTGAGCCTTGGTCTTCACGGGGTGAGGGGAGGGCAGCTGTCCTGGTTCTGGCTCAGGCTGGGCGTCGAGCTGTGTGACTGAGCCCCGTCCCCGTCTGGACAGAGCCGGAGACTTCCTTCCAAGGTGTGCTGGTGAGGGACAGCCGAGGCAGCCTACTGTGGTCAGGGACTTGTTTGTTCCACAGCACGAACTGAAGAGCTCACTTGGCTACGGTCCCAAGTGCTGCGCCCCCAAGTGCCGCGCCCCGTGTTGGGAGGGCACAGAGGCTGGGATGGATCTTCTGTGGATCAGAACTGAGGTCCCCGCTGGCACAGGGACCCAGATTCCAAGGAGACCCCAGGCTGAGGGCTGCGGGAGCAGGAGCCGGTCTCCGGGTGAGGGGCGCGCGGAGCCTGTGCTGATCGTGTCACAGGCCTGCCTGGCCCTGGGCTCCTGACCCAGAATGTCACTGGAGTGATGGGGGCAGCATCAGGAGCCGGACAGGTTGGGTAAGGGAGGGTCTTAGGAGCCAGACCCTCTGGCCAGCGGATCCCAGTCTAGCTGACGAGCCAGGTGGCCCTGAGTGACTTCCTTGAGCACTCTGACCCTTAGTCTTCTCCTCCGCGGGACTCCTGTTAGAGTCTGTAAACAAGTCAAAAATAACACCTGGCATTTTGCCAGGGGAATGTTAGAGTTCGTAAACAAGTCTGGATGGTGCCTGGCAAAATGCCAGAGGGAGTGGTTTGAGAAGTAACAAAAGCTAGCCATTAAGTGTGGAGATTCCTGATTGGTTGACTGCTGTATCTAGTTTATGCTAATTAGATAAGCTCTGTGGAATGTATAAATACTGCTCCTGTCCTGCAATAAATGGCTCCTACTCCTGCTGTATCAACGTTCACAAGTTGTTCGTCACCCCCCGGTTATTTTGCTGCAGCCAGCCGGACTCCAGCAGACTCCCACTCCACAGGTGCTCGGCACTTAATGCTCCGTAGGTGTCCGACACCGATGACCACCAGAGTCCCGCCAGTAAGGGGGTCGTGCCCGGGACCAGCTGCCTGCTCTGGGTTCCGGTCACCCACGTGATGTTCCGATTTCCTTTTATTTTTTTAAACCTTCAGCTTATGGTCGAAAAACGTTGGTGTGTTGTGTTCAAAAAGGCGTAAATGGAAAGCCAGCCTCAACCGGGCTCTTTTCTTTCATGGTGGCTGCTGGTGGCGCTGTGCACCACTGTCTGTCCCAGGCGTCTCTCCGTGTCCGCGACTAGATGGCTTCCCAGCTCGTCCTGGCGGAGGAGGTGCCTCGCGCTGGGTTGATATGGCCAGTCCCCGGCCCGGTGGCCTTCGGGCCATTTGCGGTGTTCTGACACCTCAGTCACAGCTGCAGCGGGTGGCCAGGGCGTCCCGGCTTGCGGGCTGTTAGAAATGGGGGCGCAGGTGCCGCGGCGCTGGCCTTCCACCCCACTGCTGGGGATCGGAGGCAGAGGATGGCGCGGCTGGGCCGCCTGGGCGCTGGCCTAGGCTCAGAGTGAAGACCTCAGGAGGCCGGGCTGTGGCTGGGGGAGGAGCCCCCTGGGTTCCGCCCAGCCCCGGTGCTGCCAAGAGTGGACGCCGGGGGAGGTGGCCACACTCCTCGGCCGACCCCGCCACCCCACCCCGGTAGTCGCCCAGGTAGCGCCAACCCTAGTGTCCCACAGACCTCCTGGCTCAGACCCAGGACTGCTCAGGGGAGGCTGGGCAGGATCGGAGCCTCCACCTGGAGGCAGTGGCCGGCTGAAGAGAGCCCTCTGCAGAGAGCCTGGGGGGCCAGGGCATGAGCCCCTGTGTACAGGATCGGCCCGAGCAGGGGAGCCGCGCTGGGGACCTGCTCTCAGGAGGGCACCGGGCCTGTGGCCGACAGGCCTGACCCCTCTCTGGGCCTCGGTGGGCTCATCTGTGAAATGGGCAGGGGGCCTCGTGCTCCTGGGCGGGGGTGGCCCAGACCCTGGCCGCCTGGCGCCTGCTGCCTCACCCCCTCCTCACCGTCCTCTCCCCCAGGCAAGCGCCTCCAGGAGTGGTGCTCGGTGGTCCTGTGCTTCAGCCTCCTCGCCCACAACCTGCTGCACCTGCTGCTGCTGGCCCGCTGGGAGCACGCGCCCGCCGTCGTCCTGGGCGTCGGTGAGTGGCCAGGCTTCCCTTGCCCGCGTGCGCGCGCGCGTGTGTCTGTGTGTGTGCGTGTGTGTGCTCATGTCAGTCTGCCGTGGGAGCCCCGCCTTCCCCTCAGTTGGTGGCACCTCTGTCCTGTCCCCCTGGGTCCTCTCCTGCCCTGGGCCCGAGCTGTTGGCCCCACCTTCACAGCACTGCTGGCCTCTGTGGTGGACCACGACGCGAAGGAAAGGCCACCGACTCCCGTTTCAAACAAATTAAAGCCTGGCCCGAGCTTCCCTCCGGCCAGGCCGTCCCTCCCCCAAAACCCACGGAGCAGAGGGCAGCAGGCTCTGGGAGCGTGGCCAAAGGGGGTGTCCTGGGAACCTAGAGGTAACAGGACTTTGACAGGCATGACCCAAGGCAGGCAGTGGGTAAAGGTCTAAAGGGTCCACCTGAGGGACTGGACCTAGATCCCGGCATCAGCATTGACGAGGCGCCACCAGGTTGGAGAGGGCCGCTGTCTGGCCGGGGGAGCCAGGCGCGGGTGAGTGCAGCGGGCATCCCACGCAGGGTCCGAAATCGCAGTGGCTTACGGGAAAGCAGAATGAGCTTCTCATGCCTCTGCGGCGAGATGGCTCCAGGTGTTAAGAGGGAATTAGGCTGGGTTCGTCCCTCTGCCCCGCCTGCCCGTCCCTCTGCCCCGCCTGCCGGGGGTCCTCACTCCCCTGTCCCCACCCCACCAGCCAGTGTCCACACGTGGCCCAGGAGGGGTCCTGCAGGAGCCTCAGGCCCCCTGCTGCCCTGCCCAACGTGTGCTTAGGCAGATCCCAGCTCCTCGCCTCGACTGCACCCACCGCCTGCACCCACCGTCACCTCCTGCTGCTCGCCCGCTCCCGCCAGGCCCGCCTCTGGCCTCTCCCACATCCCTGGGGGGGGGGGGGGGGGGGGGGGGGCCTCTGTGAGGCTGTTCCCTGGGACCGGAACTCTTTCTTCAAAGACATGTAGGTACAGACTCAAGGTGCTTAGAGGTCACCTCCTCAGAGAGGCGCTTCCTGGTGGCTCCTCAAAAATAGCCCTGGGGCACGGTGGGGTGTGCTTGTGATCCCAGCAATGGGAGGCTGAGGCAGGAGGTCAGAAAGTTTGTTTTTGTTTTTGTTTTTTAATATTTATTCTTAGGTTTTAGGTGGACACCATATCTTTATTTTACATTAATGTGGTGCTGAGGATCGAAGTGCTTCATGCATGTTAGGCGAGTGCTCTACCACTGAGCCACCACCCCAGCCCAGGAGGTTAGAAAGTTGAAGGCCAACCTCAACAGCTTAGCCAGACCCTGACTCAAAATAAAAAATAAATAGGGCTGGGATGCAGCTCAGTGGTAGAGTGCCCCTGGATTCTATCCCCTCTATTAAAAAAAAAAATAAAAAATAGCAGTCCTGTCACATGTCACACCCCCACTGCACTCTCCACGCCACGCCCACGTCAGTTCTTCGAGGGCAGAAGCTTCCTCTTCACGCTCTCTCTGCCCCAAGCCCAAGGCCTGCTCATGGTGGGTGACAGTATCGGCTGAACCCGTCAGTGAACCTCCTGGTATCTTCCCCAGGTCCACCCTCCCCTGTCCACAGCCAGTGAAGCAAATGTCCTCACTTTCCAGATGAGGAAACTGTGGCTCCGCAGGGAGGGGCCGGGGTCACCTCGAGGAGAAGCGCCACACAGCCCTGGGTGCCCTGCCCCTCGCAGCCCGGGCTCAGCTGCCCTCCTCTCCCCAGCAAGGGGCAGCTGGGCCCTTGCTCCCTCCCGCCTGGCCTCCCTCAGGGTTCAGTGCCCACAGTCTCATCGAAAGCTCTGGCGGCCAAGCCAGTGGCGCTCAGGCCACCAACTGACCATCTGGGGGGCCGGACTAGCTGGAGGGGAGCAGGCTAGTCAGCACCTGTCCAGTGCTGCAGAGCCTGGCCCTGCCTGCCCCCAGGGACGGGAGGGACCTGCAACAACCCAGCCCTTCCTCAGACGAGCAGGTGTCCACAGACGGGGTCACTCTTGCTGCCTGTGTGTCCCTGGCGTCTGCGAGCCTCATTTCCCACACACGCAGAAGAGGACTGCTGGGCCTGCGGAGGCACAAGTCTGAGGCCAGTGGGCTTTTTTTTTTTTTTTTGGATGCTGGGGATTGAACCACTGAGCCACGTCCCCGGCCCTTTTTGTATTTCACTTAGAGACAGGTCCTCGCCAGGTTGCTAAGGCTGACTTTGAACTCACGATCCTCCTGCCTCCGCCTCCCAAGCTGCTGGGAGGTGCTGTCACCACCCCTGGCTTCTTGAGGCAGCTCTGGCAACTTAGAAGACCCTGACTCAAAATGAAAAATAAAAGTGGGGGAGGTGGCTCGGGGTCAGGCACCCTGTGCTCAGTGAGACGACACGGCCACAGTCCCTGCCCCCTGAGGTGCGCCTAGTGTCGGGGAGGCCAGCTACTGGGGGGGTGATACCGCCGTGAGGCACCTGGCACCTCGGCCTCACTGGTCAGTTCCACAGTGGCTATTTGGTGACCCTGTGCCAGGCACTTCTCATCTCTGGCAGCCTCCTGAGGAGGTCCTGGGAGGCCAGGGGACTGGGGCCCACGCCAGGCGTGTGCTGGTGGAGCAGGGCTCGGGCTCCTTCCCTGGTTGGGGCCCGAGCTCCGCACCCTGTGGGGAGGTGTGGCTCCCCATCCCACACCTCTGCCTCTGGCTGATAACAACAGACAATCCTGATAGTGGTGTTGACACAGCCCTGATTGATTTAAATAGCTGCTCTGATTTGTGTGTTAACGCGCAGGCGGAGGGCACCGTGCCAGCCCCCTGCCCGTCACTATCTCCCCCAGAGATTACGGTGCCCCGGGCAGGCCCAAGAAGTCAGGCAGAGCGAGAGCATGAAAGGTGTGTGGTTGGTAAAGTGGGCACAGGGGACACGAGGCTGACAGGCAGCCAGGCGGGAGGTGTGGTGGGGTGTCCCGGAGAGGAAGCCCCGAGCGCCAAGGTCCTGCAGCTGCTTGTGCCCGCGGGTTAGGGGGACGGGAAGGAGTGCAGTGAGGCTGGGCAGTTCACCGAGGGAATGGGTTGGTGGCAGCTCAGAGGCAGTGGGGACACGGGATCGGGCTGTGGCCTGGGTGCAGGCTATCCTCCACGCCCGCGAGGAGTCCTGGGGAGTTCCCTGGAGAGGTGACTGCCGCTCAGCCATTCGGGACGCGGCCGTGGAGGTGGCACAGGTTGTGGGACGCAGGAAGAGCCGTGCCAGGCGCTCTGCTCGCTGGGCTGGGGGTCGCTGGGGGGCGAGAGAAGGAGGGTCAGCGGCCACTGCCTCCGGCTGGCCGACGGGCGGGAGGGAGGGACTGCCCCTCAGAGACGAGCTGGAGGGAGGGATCAGGAGCCTGAAAAGGACGCGGGGTCCAAGCCCAGACACTAGCGGGAGACCCTGGCCCAGTGCTGCGGGGCGCAGCGGGAGGAGCGCAGGGGGTGGGAGTCTGGCGGGCCAGGGGCCCAGCCCTGGTCAGGTGGAGGTGGGAGTCGCTGAGTCGCCCTGAAGGGCTCAGCAAAGCCCCAGAGGTGAGTCGGAGCCTGGAGGGAACTGTTCCTGTGCCAGTGTCTGCAGGGAAGGGCGGTGGCTGAAGCTGCCCCAGGGCGAACCAGTCTCCAGCCATGAGCCAGCCACCAGCAGGGCAGAGACAAAGAGTCTTCTGTGTCCCTCCCCTGCCCCCATCCAAGGGGCCTCGCAGGCCAGCAGGCAGCCTGGAGCCTGTCCCTAGAGAGCCATCCCCAGCCTGGACCCAGGGCCAGTGCCCGCAGCGGGGGAGGCAAGGCCCCTCCCTGCCCCCGTGCGTTCCTGACCTCTGTCCACAGCACGAAGGCCTGAAGGCCAGGGACTGGTCCCTTGACAGGCGACAAGACCCAGGCACTGGGAGGGGAGTCCTTGACCTACCCGAGCTTCCTCTGATGAGCCCAGGGCCGCCAGGCACTTGCCGGTCCAGCCTGCTGACCCTGTGGATGGGGGCAGGGCTCGCACCCCCGTTGCCCAGCCCCGAATGTGGGGGCTCCTCCACCCACTCAGTCAGTAGCCACCCTCACAGTGGCCTCTGGTGGCCTCACAGCCGCCCAGCCACCTGCCACCATGTGAGCCTGGACGGGCCTCAACCCTGGAGTCTCTGTCCCTCTGGGACCTGGGCTGTGGCGGGGCTGACCTGTGCTCTGGAGAGACGGTGCACCCCTCTTCTGGGCACCGTGCACGTCCTGCCTCCCGGTACGGTCAGGCCCGGTGTTGACGCAGAGGCCAGGCACCGTCCATTCCGTGTCCTGCTAATGCCCCTCTTCCTTCCCGAGGCAGGGTCTGGCCGTGTGGCCCAGCCTGGCCTGGACTTTGTGATCCTCCTGCCTCGGCTGCCTCCCCCCGTGGGATTTTAGCTGGTGGCTCCCTGGTGACTGGGCTGTGGCCTGGGTCTGGGAGGAAGGTGTCAGAGGCCGAGGGCCTTTTCATCTTGTCATAGCCGGGCAGCTCTCCCCAGGCCTGGAGAGCCGTGCCCCTGAGCGCACCCCCAGCCCTGGCCAGGTGCCGTGTGCAGGAAGCATGTGAGGACACCTTCGCCACAGGTGTCTCTGCCCGTGGGATCGGGATTCTTGTCACCCGCAGCAGCAGTGCCGGGACAGTTAAGGCGATTAGACGTGTGGCCGCCTGGGCGGGCCGGGCTGCCGCGGGGGATTAGGGGACCTGAGGCAGACAGGTGCTGGCCGGGGCTGGGAGCTTCAGGTTAAAAATACACGGGCGCCATCTTCACCCAGGGGAGCCAGGGCGTGTGCCCACCCGGCGTGGAGCGTGGGCTGCGGCTTCAGGGGAAGCTGGGCCAACCCAGACGCCACCACAGCTGGTGGAGAACACGTCCTTCTCCACCTGGATGACGGGACGCTGGTCGGCAAAGAGCAGGGCACACTGACGATGCCCGTGACCCTGTGGGTGGACTGTAGAAAGTTCTAGAGCAGCTTGGTCAGTCTGCGCTCCTGGCAGCAGGTCTGCAGTTGCACAGGACAGGAGTGGGAGGGAGATGAGGGGCAGGAGGGAGCCTGGGGGGGCGGGCCAGCGGGTCTGTGGCCTGTGGGGCAGCCTGAGTGTGGGAAGCAGACCCGTGTGGCCCCCCGAGGTGGTTCCCACCCTGGCACTCTGGAGAGGCGAGGACACCGGTCCTGACTGGGAGGTGGTTGGACGGGTCTCCTAGCAGGCCAGCGCTATCAGGCCGGGGCCACAGGCCACAGGTCACGTGTGGGCCAGGCCCCGTTAAACCTCGAGGCCAGCTGCAGTTTGGGGAGTGGAAAGGGCTTCGTCGGTTCTACCCAGAGCCGAGCACTCAGAACAAGGACCTGGGTTCTGAAACATCCCCAGGCCACACCCCTCCTGCCTCCAGCCGCTTCTTGTCCGCGGCTGTTCCTTGCCCAAGAAGGAGAGTTTAGGGCTGGGGTGCAGCTCAGTGGGTGGCGCCTGCACGCAGGAGGCCCTAGGTTCAGCCCCCAGCACCACAGAGAAAAGAGAAGGCAGTGCTGAAAGGCATCACTAACGTTGTTGGAACAGGCCTCTGGAGACCCTCAGCTACCTCATTATGCACGTGAATGCTGAGGCCCAGAGGAGGTAAGGGGCTTGTCCTGGTCACACAGCAATATGGTGGTGGGCAGAGGCAGTGTGGGCAGGAGGAGCCCTGGTGAGCCCTGGGCCTCCTGTGGTGCAGGTTGGAGGTGGTAGACACCCCTGTTCTTGTCCTGAGGCTGCCACTTCCAGGCCACGTGACCGGGGGTGGGGGTGCTTTGACTTCTTTGAGCCTCTTTCCTTCTCCAAGAAATGGAGATCACAAGCGCAGCCATCTCGGGTGTCCTCGGCGCCGGGTTGGGAACAGAGCAGGGAAGTGTGGCCCAAGCGTCTGCTTGGGGTGTGGCTTCACTCAGGGGACCCTCAGGTGACAGGCACCCCGAGGAAGCAGCTGCCAGGACCTGGGAGAAAGGGGCTCCAAGGGACAGCGGGGACGTCCTCTGCCTCGCGCCCAGCCGCCCCATACCCCGCAAGGAGCAGGCCTGCGGGCCTTGCGGGGCGCCCTCCTGCCTGTCCTATGGCTTCCCAAGGCAGGAGGTGGCTCTGCTCCACGCCCCTCCCTCCCTCCCTCCCTGCTCACCAGGGACTTGGGGGCCTGCAGAAGCTGTGTCGCCTGCCATCCCGCCCGCCATCCTGCCGCGCTCCACGCAGGGCACACGAGTCCCAGAGCCTCCAGAAGGGTCTTCCAGCAGCTGCCCTTGACTCTGGCCTAGCCATCAGAACCGCAGACTGCAGGGACCCAGGCGCTCACTCTGTCCCCTGGGTCCTGAGCCACGCTCTCCAGGGAGGTGTCCAGTCTCTCTGCAGCCTCCACAGTGCTCCAGGGCCCTGTCACCCTGTCACCCAGGGGCTGAGAACTGGGCCTCCAACAGCAGTCCACGGGGACGCCGAGTTGGGAAGGAGCAGGAGGGCACTGCCCGTGAGGCTGCTCCCGCTGGCCTGGTCCTCTGCCCTTTGCCACAGGTGGTAGAGAGCTCATCGTCACTGTGTCCCACCGAGGTGGCACAGGGGGCCCTTGTCAGATGTTGCTTGGTTGATGCAGCCTCTGCCCAAATACAGTATTGAGGGCCTACTGTGTGCCACGCACCCAGTGAGCCCAGATATGTGCCGACATCCAGGTCACAGCCATAAACAAGAAACCAGAATCTCAGCTGTGTGCACCGGACACAGTATGCAGGCCTGTAATCCCAGTCAGGAGGCTGAGGCAGGAGGATCATGAGTTCAAAGCCAACCTCACAACTTAGGGAGGACCTGCCTTAAAAAAAATAAATAAATAAAGTAAAAATAAAACCGGGCTGGGGATGTGGCGGGTGTGGTTGCCTGCTCAGGTGTCCAGGGAGGACACATCAGTGGACTCTGGGGGAGAGGGCCCGGTGCACTGTGTTGCGTCTTGGGAAAGGATATGCCTGGCGGACAGCCGCACCGCAGAGCCCAGAGGTGCACGGGGCTGTGCGAGGGAAGGGGAAAGCCAGCAGGGGGCGCTGCAGGGGTGAGGGAGTGGGCGGCCGCAGCCCTGAGAATCACCTCCCGCAGTCGCTGCCCGGCCTGTGTCCCCCGAGTGCGTGGCTGTGTGTGCTGCTGTGCCGGATCTGGGTCTCAGGGCAGGTCAGGAGCCAGGTGTGGCCCTTGCTGTGTGTGTGACCTTGTCCAGTTACTTCTGCTGTCCAAGCCTGTCTCCTCCTCTCTAAAGTGGGAATAAAAATGGCAGTGATATCTCACAGACGGTGAGGTTGGTTGAGCTCCATCGTGTAGACACATGTGCCTGGTACTGAGAAAGGGCCTAATAAATGGTGGCCACTGTGTGCCTAAAAATCACTCCTGTCTTACAAGACGAAATGGGCGCAGAGATGTTAAGTAACATGTGCAGTGTCACACAGCAAGCGAGCAGTGGAGCTGGAACTGCATGTGACTGTGCTGCTCTGAGCCCTCAGGTGAGTGGTGTTGGTCTCCAGGAGACCCACTGTGTGCTGAGCAGGCGGGAAACAAAGACGAAGGAGGCAGCTAGAGACCAGGGGGTCACGGCACTGGGACTGAGAGCTGGGGTGGGCAGTAACTTCTGCCCACGACTGGGGCAGAAGGTGCAGGACGCCAGGTACAGGACGGCCCTCCAGCCGCAGGCGCACTGTGTGGGGGAGGGTGGGAGCGGCGCCGGGTGACCTGAGCCCAGCTTGTTCTCCTGACCCCGGCGGAGCACGCGTGGGGCCGGGGCTCCGTCCACAGGGAAGAAGTCCCGGGTGGAGAAGGGCTACTTTCCTCCTCTGACAAACGCGTGAGCGTGGGATGCGGGCATCTGGCCGCGGGGCTCTGCCTGGGCCGGCTGCAGCTTGCTCCCTCCCTCAGTTGCAGGGGCGGTCACCGCGGATTTCTTCTCCGGCCTGGTGCACTGGGGCGCTGACACGTGGGGCTCCGTGGAGCTGCCCGTCGTGGGGAAGGTGCGTACGTGGGGCCGCGTGGCCTGGGGGCCCCCTGGGCCAGCCCGCCTTCCCGCGGGTGAAGCAGAGGCGTCAGGACGGGTGGCCCGGGAGCTGGGTGTTGGCCTGCCTTGAACTTGGGGTCCCCTCCTGCCGCCCTCGCTGCTGGTCTGATTGGGGCTGACCCTGGCTTCATCCGACGCGGCCCACCCCGGCCTTCCCACCCCTCGACGTCCCCTCACGGCTGCTGGGTGGCTGCCCAGCCCACCCACAATGAGAGCGGTCCCCCCCGCCCCCGTCACAGCCCGAGTCCCCACTCACCCCACGGCCCAGTCAGACCCCGTGGCCAGAGGGACGTGCTCTGTGGGCACGTCGGCTATCAGAGAGCTGGTGCCAGAGAAGGGGGCACGTCCTCTCCTGAGGAGGGGCTCTGCTGCCGGCGCAGTGGGGGCTGAGTCCAGGGCGGGGGCGGCCGGCCAGGCTCCTTGTGCCCTGCAGGCCGCGGGCTCCGTCGGTGCCCGTGGGTGGAGGGCCCTGGGCGTGCCTGTCCCGGGCTGACTGGTCGGCGCCCCGCGGCCACCAGGCTTTCATCCGGCCGTTCCGGGAGCACCACATCGACCCCACGGCCATCACGCGGCACGACTTCATTGAGACCAACGGGGACAACTGCTTGGTGATGCTGCTGCCGCTGCTCAACATGGCCTACAAGTTCCACACCCAGAGCCCAGGTGAGGCCGGGCGGGGCGGGCGGGGCGGCCGGCTGCAGCAGGTCCCAAGCCCCTCGTGCTCCCGGCTGGGCGCCGTCGGTGGTCTCTGGAGCCCAGGGGTCGGACACAGACACTGGGTCAGCTCCCCTGGGCAGTCGGAACTGGGCTCGGCTGCCCCCGGGCCCTCGCCCCCACCTGGCTGCATGCACTCGTCGCCACTGCTGCCCGCTCCTGCCCACCCGGGCCTTTGTGCTTCCTGCTGGCCCCGGGGCTCTGGGTGGGAGCAGCTGCCCGCCCCCTGCAGCCACACTGAACTCAGCCCCGGTGACGCCCCCTTTTGAAAGGACTTGTTGCCCCAAGGCCCGCCCATTTTCCACTGCAGTCGGGCAGAGGTGAGGTCAGTCGCACCCTGGTCACCTCCCTGGGCTTGAGAGGTGGCTCCCGTGGGTGCTTGTGATGAATATCTGCAGGCCAGAGGGTGCCTGGTGCCACGTCGTGTCCCCCCATCCCTGTGTGTCATAGCTGCTGAGTGGCTGCCAAGTGCCCCTGCTGCCCTCCTCCCGTCACCTGCCCAGGAGGCCCTGCCTCTCCCCTTGGGACGAGGCTGGAGCTGGCCACAGAAGAAGGGAGGGCCAGCGCCGGCCTCGGGTGGGCCCAGCTCCATGGGCTGTGACCCCCAGAGCCCTTGCGGCCCCCAGACCCTTGCAGAGCTGTCCCCCTGCTGTGCCTGCCTCCCGCGGGGTCTGTCCCCAGGAGACTCCTGGAGCAGGTCTGCGTGGGGGCCTGGTGGGGGCTTATCCCCACGTTAGTGATTGGGAAGGGAGAAGGTGGCCCTGCTGTGCCACCACCGCGTCTCCCTGTCCCTGTGCTTCCTCCCTCCTGGCCCCAGTGGAAAGGTGGCCCGCTGGCCTGAGGCTCGCTGAGGCTGGCAGAGCACCCAGGTGCCCCAGGCCCTGAGCTGCAGGGTGAGGGCTGGTGGCCTGACCCCGCCCCGGTGATGCCCCTCTCCGCAGAGGCCCTGGCGCAGCTGTACCCCTGGGAGTGCTTCGTCTTCTGCCTGAGCGTCTTCGGCACCTTCACCAACCAGATCCACAAGTGGTCGCACACGTACTTCGGGCTGCCACGCTGGGTCACCTTCCTCCAGGACTGGAACATCATCCTGCCACGGAAACACCACCGCATCCACCACGTCTCTCCCCACGAGACCTATTTCTGCATCACCACAGGTGCGGGCCGGCGGGCCAGGCCCTGGGGCGGGTGGGCCTGGCGGGGTCCTGCAGTCCTGGCCCTCGTGGGTCTCAGGGCACACGGACGAGCATCAGCTGTGTGCCCGGCACCCTGCAGGTGCCACAGTAAACAGGACAGGCCCCCCCACCCACCCCACGGAGCCCTGACTCCCTCCACCCACCAGCCAGCATGTATTTGTTGAGCACCTACTGTGTGCCCATCTCTGCTTTGGGTCTAGGACCCAGCAGTGGATAAAACCGACTCCCCGCCGGGGGGGCGGGCCCAGGAAGTAAAGATGCAGCTCACCTGCTGGCGCCGCAGGGGGGGAGCAGCAGGGCGGAGCGGATGGTCCCCTTTAAATGAGGAGTCAGAGGTGCCGTTAAGCAGAGGCCTGGAGGAACTGGGAGGAGGGAGCTGAGGAGTCTGGGGAACCCCGGGTGTGGAGCCAGGGAGATTCGAGTCAGGGAGCAAGGAGGCCACTGCGCAGGTGAGGAGGTGGATCTGGAAGAGCTGGGTGCTCCTGAGGGACATGGGGACAGGTCAGTCTGGCAGAGGAAACAGTCCAAAGGCCCAAGCTGGGGACCCTGCTGGGACAGACACGCGGGCCAGTGGCGGAGGGGGAAGATGCCGGTGTGAGGCGCCCCGGGGCCCGGGCTTCTTCCCGCTGCCGTGGCCGGCGGGAGGCGGGGTCGGCCACCTGCGCCTTGGTTGGGCTCCCTGCCGCCGTCCGCTCACCCGTCCCCCTGCGCAGGCTGGCTCAACTACCCCCTGGAGAAGGTGGGCTTCTGGAGGCGCCTGGAGGACCTCATCCAGGGCCTGACGGGCGAGAAGCCTCGGGCCGACGACATGAAGTGGGCGCAGAAGGTCAAGTAGCCTCCAAGCCACCAGCTGGCCGCCGGCCTCCCGCCCCCACGGAAGCCATCTGCCGACTCCGGCCTCCTGGAGCGGCCCCTCCGCGTGGAGGACACCTCCTGGGCTGCGCCCGGGCGCCCGCCCGCCCCCATGACACAGAATACTTGAGCCACTGATTTTCCCATTTCCTCTTTCCGTTCTCTTTCCTGGGCCCCGACCAGGGCCTGGCTGCAGAAAAGAGCCCTGTCCTGCCCGTCCCTCAGGCAGAGGGCCACCGCGCCCTGCACGCCTGCCACCCACCCAGGCAGCCCTTCAGCGTGGCTGGCATTGGCTGCTGAGTCACCTCTGTGTCCTTCCCTGTTTGACACCAGAGGTCCAGGAGGCCCCAGGACACTGTCCTGCCTTGTCCTGTAGACTGACCCAGAGGCCTTGGTAGGGGACACTCCTAGCCACCGCCTTCAGCCTGCCTGTCCACCCAGGGATGGCGCGCCCCCAAAGGTCAGGGGGCAGCTGGCCAGGAAAGGCTGGGACCCCCCAAGTCTGACCCCCACCCCCCTGCCCTCTGGTTCTGGCTGGAGCTGGGGTCTCGCACAGAGACGCCGAGCAGGGTCCTGCCAAGGCTCCTGGCCCCGGGGACAGGCACCGTGTCCCCTCTGGCCAAGGTGTTGTCAGAGAAGGCAGAAGCGGGGCTTTTTGTTTTGGGTTTTTTTTTTTTTAAAGGTGCTTGCTTGTTTAATGTAAGTAATAGAAAGCCTTAATATCTTTTCTGTAACACGGAGGAATATTTTAACGCCATGTTTGGATGTACATATATATTTATAACAGAGCAGGAGGCTGCTTAACCTGGCCGCCCGCTGTCCCTGGGGGCCGGAGGCGCAGTTAGGAGCCGTGTGGGGGCTCACCACATGAGACAATGAATCAGTGTTGACATGCTCCAAACGCTTGGGGAAGGGACCCGACTCGGTGGCCTTCCCTATAGATCATGGCAGAGTCACAGGGACTGACCCCAGTCTAGGAGGCCCTTTGGCATATGTTTATTTGCGGCTGACGTGTGCCACACTCTTGAGGCACCGCAGCAAGAGACCAACAAGGACCCGCCTGGTGGATTTGACCCCCCTGAAAGAGACAATAAACATAAATAAATGCACATGGAAATTCAGATGGTGATTTGTGAAAGAACAGGGTAGAACCCCATTGGAAAGGTGGGGGGGAAATGGGCAGAGGGGGGACGGTGGGGAGGTGCTGAGGAGGGGCTGCCTGGATAAGACCTGGAGGAGGAGGAGGAGGAGGAGGCAGAGCTGCCAGGGAGCAGCAGGGGGGGAAGGGGCCTCTTGGTGGGATGGCAAGTGCAAGGGCCCTGAGGCAGGAACAGGTTTGAGGCCAAGAGGAGGCAAGTCTGGACTGGAGTGAGCAGGGGGACAGTGGAGAGGAGATGGGAAACCCAGGAACCTCGCAGCCTCCCAGGCCGAGGTGAGTGCGAGGCCACTGGACATTTTAAACAAAGGAAGTTGTTTCTGTTTTGAATAAGTTACCGTAAGGCACACGTGTCAGGCTGGGATTCAGTTGTGGACGCTACAGACTCTCGTCAGAATCTAGTTTGGGACTCAGGGGTAAAGGGCTTGCCTGGTGTGTGTGAGGCCCTGGGTTCCATCCCTAGCACTGCAAAAGCAAAACAGAAAGAAATCTATTCTGGACTAGTTTCTGCAGTTAGCCAGAAGAGAAGGCCTGTCGGGGACAGGAAAACGGTAAGATGAGAGCAGTCACATACAACATGGATTTATTTTTAAAAGTGTGTTGGCTCGGGAGGCTGAGGCGGGAGGATCATGAGTTCAAAGCCAGCCTCAGCAAAAGGGAGGCGGTAAGCAACTCAGTGAGACGCTGTCTCTAAATAAAATACAAAACAGGGCTGGGGGTGTGGCTCGTGGCCGAGCATCCCTGGGTTCACTCCCTGGTACAAAAAAAAAAAAGTGACCCATACCTTCGTTTTCCTGAACTTTGGTCACCACGGGGCTTTTTTATGCCTATGTCTGAGGAGACCAGTAACGGAAGGGAAGCTAGGGTTTGATGGCTCACAGTGACAGGTGCGTGGTGATGGTCGCCTGGACCCCCAGCTGCTCTGGAGGCTGAAGCAGGAGGATCCCAAGTAGGAGACCAGCTTGGGGAACTTGAGCAAGACCTTGTGTCAAGAAAGAAAGGGCTGGTCATGGAGCTCAGTGGGCAGTGTCCCTGGGTTCAGTCCCCAGTACCCCCCAAAAAAGAAAACCAAAGAAATTTATAGCGAAAGGAATTGTATCAGCTCACAAAACTCAGATGTCCGTGGGGTGGCCCTGCCTTGATATTGGACAGGACCCAGGGACTCACATTCATCAGAACTTGGTCTCTGTCTTGCCTCAGTTTCCCCTGAGTTGAGACGGCATTGAACAGCGGCCCATCTCCGGGGACTCGCCCTTCCCACTGGTTGCAGAGAGGCCCGGAGTGGACGCCCAGTGGCTTGGGTTGGGTCCTGTGCCTACCCTGAATCCACCACCTTGGCCTGCTGGTGGGGCACGGGTAAGTGTCGCTTGGCCAGGAGCAAAACATGTCCTGCGACCTTCTCAAACCCCAGGAGGGAGGCAGGTACCCAGAAGAGAGGGCGTCTGTACAAGAGAGTGTGATGGATGGGCAGGGGCCAGACTCCAGAGGGGCCGGCTGAGCGGCCAGGGGCTGCCAGGGTTGCTGTCCTGTCCCCAGGCCCTGCCAACCTGTGGCAGTTGCCCTGGAGCTAGCAAAAGAAATGAGTCCAGAGTGACTGGCATAAGGTCAAGTGACTGGCACAAGGTCCCACAGCCAAGGATGGCCGAGCCAGGCCTCCCACCCCCGCCGTCTTGCCTGAATCCCAAGGGCTGGAAGATGCTTTCCCAAACCAGAGGGGGCTCTGTTCTGCATCAGGTCAGAGTGTGTCGGCCACTGATAAGATCAGGGCTTGCAAAGAAGTGTCGGTGGCCAGACAGGAAATGCCACTCAACCCCTGAACACCAGCACCTGCCAGACGGCAGGGCCTGGGCCTGGGGCCATCCCGCAGCTCTGGGGAGTGACCACTCTTGGCACCACTTGCACATGGGGATGCTGAGGCCTGGAGGTTACCTGTTGTGCTCAAGCTCACAGCTGGTAGGTGGCACAAACAGGATCCAAGCTCATGTCCCACCCAAAGCCCTTGCGCCTCAAATACCCGTCAGTAGCCCCAGAGGAAGGGGGGGGGGAGGCCAGTGACAAGAGAAGTCCTCAAGAAAACCGCAGTCCACATGGGAATGGCAGCCATGCTGGGAACTGGGGTGACCTGGAGACTGTAGCTCTCCACACACAGCCGCTCTGGGCATCAGCTGATTAAAGAGAAGCCAGACGTCCAGAGTTTTCTTTTTCTTTCTTTCTTTTCTTTTCTTTTTTTTTTTTTTTAATATTTTTAGGTGTAGTTGGACACAACACCTTTATTTTATTTATTTATTTTTACGTGCTGAGGATCGAACCCAGGGCCTCGCACGGGCAAGGCGAGCGCTCTACCGCTGAGCCACAACCCAGCCCCCAGTCCAGACTTTTCAAATGCTGGCTCCATGTTTAAAACATGATGCCAGCCGGGCGCGTTGGCACTCACCTGTAATCTCAGGGAGTTGGGAGGCTGAGGCAGAAAGACCGCAAGTTCAAAGCCAGCCTCAGCCACTTAGCAAGGCCCTAAGCAACTCAGTGAGGCCCTGTCTCAAAACAAAGAGCGCTGGGGATGCGGCTCAGTGGTTAAGCGCCCCTGAGTTTAAAACAAAAAAAACAATGCGGGCCAAGCAAAATAGGTGTCATGGGCTATCTGGGACAGCCACCCAACCTGGGCGCCAGCTTTAGGTGAGCATATGTTGCCATCTGGTGGTGGAGCAGGGTAGGTGACATGCAGGGCAAACACTGGTTCCCAAGCGTCCAGGTCTGTGCTGGCTTCTCTTCAGAGGGGTCTAGGCACACACCGCAGGCTCCTGTCCACCGTTTGACCCCAACCCCTTTGGGTAAACCTGTAATCCCAGGGACTCCAGTGGCTGAGGCAGGAGGACGGCAAGCTCCAAACGAGCCTGGGCAACTTAATAAGACTCGGCCTCAAGTTAAAAAGGGCAGGAGATGTAGATAAGTGGTGGGGTGTCTCTGGGTCCTAAAAAATAACGTATTATTTGAAAGAAAATGAGCCATCTAAGCAGAATGGTGCACACCCAAAATCCCAGGCACTCGGGAGGCTGAAGCAGGAGGATCACAGCCTTGGCAATTTAGCTTCAGAAATCAAAACCCTGTCTCAAAATTAAAAAAAAAAAATCTAAAGGGCCATGGGTGTAGCTCAGTGGTAGAGCACCCCTGTGTTAGACCCCAGTACCCCCTCCACACAAGAATGTGAACACAAAACAGGCCACAGCAAGGGTCAGCGGGCGACAATGGGCCAAATCCAGCCCACTGGTTTTGCTGTGGCCACAAGCGCTTGTTTTTAAATGATTGGCAGGAGAATCTTTCAGGACAGGACATTCAAATGCCAGCGCCCGTTGCAGAGTTTAGTTGGCACGTGGCCATGCCCACCCACTCACTGGTCCCTGGCTCCTTTGTGCTGCAGCAACGAGGTAACTGATTTCCACAGAGGTCAGGTGGCCTGAGGAGCCATGAGACCAACTCTCTGGTCCTTTACAGTAAAGGTTCCCAGTCCCTGATCCACAGCGAAGTCAAACACCCCAGTTTCTGCTCCCCAAGCCCTCAGCGCCCCTCCCAGGCTCACCAGGCCCATCATTTTGAAATACCCTTGCAAGTCCCTTATATAGGCACTCGGGTAATGTAATGTCCACCCACACACAGTAGGCGGGACTGTGCTCTGCACCATCCCCTTTTTCACATAACCGTTTTGGAAATAGTGTTATCAATGTTCAGAAAGCTTTCTTCCTATTTTATTTTCTATTTTTTTTTTATATCAGGGATTGAACCCAGGGGTGCTTAACCACTGAGCCACATCCCCAGCCCTTTTAATAGTTTATTTAGAGACAGGGTCTCACTAAGTTGCTTAGGGCCTTGCTAAGTTGCTGAGGCTGGCCTGCACTTGCTGTACTCCTTCTTCAGCTTCCCAAATCACTGGGGCATCCCCATACCCAGCCTGACTCACTCCTTTTAACAGCTGTGTAGTATTCCACCTCCAATGGTTGTTGGGTTGTTTTCAGTCCTGAGTTTTACAAACTGCTGTTACTTGCAACAGAGATCTCAGATCTTTGCTCATAGGGCCACTGGATCTGAAGGGTCAGCTCCTAGGAACTGAATTGCAGGGTCGAAGGGTGTTTGTGTTTAAAAATCGTGATGGCTCACACCCAGCCCTGTTCCAGAGGCTGGTGCATTCACACTCACCGCTGCTGAGCAGCCTGTGGCCCACATCCTTGCCAACACTGTGTTATCAAAGGTCGAGCTCTTTGCCAACCTGATAGGTGGTTTTAATTTGCATTTCTCTTATTGTATTTTATTGAATCTAAGATGTCATGCGTCCTAAGATGCATCCTGGTTTCAGAGATGTTTGAATGTAAAAATCTGTATCTTAAAATCTTTGAAACACAATATCTTATTGTGAGTTTAAAAGGCACTGCAATTCCTCATCTGTTCATGTCCCTTCCCAAATTTCCTGGAGGACAGGGTAGTAGTGGTTAAGAGTTTGGGGTTCAGATCCCAGCTCTGCCACTGACAAGCTTGTGACTATGGGCAAATCACTTAACCTTCCTGTGTCTCAGTTGTCTCATCTGTAAAACGGGGAGAATAATGGCACTTACACATAGGCTAGTTATGAAGGTTAAAGAAATTACTATATGAAAAACACTATGTTCTGAGAACACAGTAAATGCTCAGTAAATGTTTGCCTTTCTCTTTTCTTTTGCGGTGCTGGGGTTGAAACCCAGGGCCTTGTGCATGTTGGGCAGTGCTCTACCATCTAGTTATACCCTAGCTCTTTGCTTAACGGATTTCAAGGGCCCTTTTTAAATTAACTCGTCCAGCTCCCTAGTTTCATCCCTTTCTCCATGGCTACAGAAAGTGACGTATGATACACAATCGGGCGTTGTAGAAACAAATTGTCTAGAAAGAAACCAAAGGCTGGGGACTTCGAGTGGGAGAACATGGGCTTATCATGCTTAAGGCGCTGAGTCCAAGCCTCCACCAGAGGGGGAGAGAGAAGGTGGGGGGGCGCAGCGGGGAGACACCGACCAAAGGAACCAACCCAGACGTCCACCAACAGAGGACTGTTGGACGGACCGGCACCCCTCCCCGTCCCCCTTTTTGACTGAATATTGTAGCAACAACATCATACATAAAATGTCCTCAGGCAGCTTAAGCAATGGACAGTGACCTTCTCGGGCCTTCCTCAGTCCGCAGCAGGGGCCCAGATTTCCCTGGGCAGCTCCACCCCCTCTCAGGACCTGGCTCGCCACCTCTGCGTTGTCATCTTGGTCTGGAGCGTCAGGGTTTGGGCCTCAGGTTGGGCCTCGTGGCTTCACATGACCGTTGGCGCCACTTCGCCACTTCCTATGGTGGAAAGAAGGGAGTGGAGAACAAAAAACCCGGGAAAGGGACGCCTCACCGGGGCCGCGGGCCGCGGACAGTGTCCAACACCCCCCTTTTCTGGACCTCCCGCCCCGACCTGCTGCTGACTCAGCGGCCGGGCTGCACGTCCGTCACGTGTGGCTGGCAACCTCAGACCCCGCGTCCCTCGCCACAGGGGACCAGCAGGTGCTGCCGGGGGCAAAGGAGGAGATTCCAAAACTGACTCTCCGCCGTCCTCGCTGTGTGATCCCCGGGAAAGCCACCTAACTCCGCCAGCCTCGGGTTCCTCGGCCAACAAAACCGAGACGGCAAAGGCTCCTTTGCAAGGGTCACTGAGGATTAGGCAATAATAGCAACTAATGCTTAAGTAGCACTTAACGTCAAGCCTTCTGAGTCCTCTAGCTCTGCTAACCATTTTAATCCTCAACAATCCGATGAAGCAGGATTCCCTCCTCGTCAGCAGCTGAGTTATCAGCTCCGGGCAGAGGCGGGACCACGCCGGGGGCCGGGAGGAACCCAGCTCCAGGGACTGGCTGTGCCGGCCGGGAAGGGGCGGAGCCTCCCGCGGGCTGTGAGCCCCGGGAGCACTACAACTCCCAGCAGGCACCGCGACCTCCGGACTACAGCAGCCAGCATGCCCCGCGCCTCCCGCTTAACCTCTTGCGAGGCGTTCTGCACAGGAATTTCCCGTTATTGTCAATTTTACTTTCAAGGAACTCCCAGCAAGAACCAGAAAAATCTATGCGAATAAACATCTTCTGAGCATCGTGGAAAGGGACTTGAATCCTCATTCCTCCACCCGTAGGTTCTCGGTCTCCGTCTGCTCATCTTTGAAATGGGGCTGTCCCAAGGGGTGGCTGCATCCAGCTGGGAGCTAGTAAAAGCAGGATATAATGGCTTGGTAAATGCCGTTTTTTTTTTTGTTGTTGTTGTTTTTCTGGCGTCCCTTGCTTCTCCCTGTGCCAAGGGGTTTTCTCAAAGTATTTTCTCGACAGCGACCCTGTGGGTCGATACTTTCCTCTCCCGTTCAAAGAGAAACTGACGCCCGGAGAGTCGTGCAGTGAAGTGCGTGGTAAAGAAAGACGTGAACCTAGAAGATTTCCCTTCAGAGGGGCGCCTACCTCTGCAGCCCAAATGTTTCCACTTGCTGCTGATGTTTTACAGTGACCCAAAGTCCAGGACACATATTTAATGTGCTCCCCAAATCAAATTTGTATCCTGTGCTACATAAAACGTCAGGTTGCATTGTGTGTGGCTGAAAAAGGAGGAACACCTGGCATTTTGAGAGCCGATTATAGCTGAAGTTGACCCATTTGGAGGAACCAAGGAAAGCTTTCCTGAAGAGGTGATCCTAGATCTGAGAATACAGGCAAAGGCCCTGCGAAGAGAGGGCTCTGAAAAGGTTGTGCTCCCTGAAAAGAGCCAGGCTGGGGGGAAGCAAGCGAGGCCCTCAGTCGGCCTCACAAGTGCAGTTAGGACCTGAGTGGAAACCTCCTTAAATTTTCTGCCCTGGACACTTCACTGGCCCCATCTTAGTCCATGATGGGCACATCCTTGCAGGGAGGGCAGCCATCCATCCTAGCTTGCCCAAATGCTTCTACTTGCTACTGACCCTTTACAATGACCCAAAGTCCAGGACAGACCTCGTGTCCATTATCCTGGAGAGAATGCAATAGACCCCTTCAGTGTGACAGGTGTCCTCACTGGAGATAACTCTATGGTCATTCAGCTTGTACCATCTATGTTGTCCAGAGGGAATGGGGAGCCACTTGAAGGCTTTAGCTGAGGGCATTTTGAGTAGACTCTGGCTGCCTTATGGAGACTAGACTAGGTCAGAATACAGGCTGCCAAGGCTACCCAGGGGAGACAACAGCACTTGCCCTGAGTGGGACCAGTGGAGAGATGCTTGGCAGAAACTGCTGTCGAGAAAGGTGATGAGTGGGATCTTCTGGGTGAGGGCTTCCGGCTTCCTCTGTCCTGAGTGCTGGTCCTTCCTCTGCTGGGGATCAGCAGTATGACCTTGAGCCAATTCCTTCAAGTTTCTCAGCCTCAGTTTTCACATCCATATAAAGGAGTTGCTCATTAAATTATCACTTATTTGCAAATATATATGTCCCCAGGACCTTTGTACTTGCAGTTTTACCTCCTTTGCATCAGTTGGGTCTCTGTTGAAATGTGACCACCTTAGGAGGCTCTTCCTGGAGATTTCCTGCTGCCCCTTCACTGGTCTATTCCCTGGCCAGTCGTAGTTAGTGTCCCACTTGTTTACTTGCTCTTTGTCTTCGACTAGAATCTAAGCCCCTGAAAGCCGGGACTTGGTTCTTTGGGGGTTCATCTCCAGCACCTAGCACAGTGCCTGGCATACAGTTGGTGCTTAACAAATATTTGGATGAAGGAGTAGACTAATGAGCGAAGGAATGAATGCATGGGTGGATGGATGGGCAAACGCTTTTGCTGCCAGCTTTAAAGGTCTCAAGTCAGTTAGCTGCGCCTGACCCCAAGCCGCCTCTGGCCAGGCAGCAACAACCCTGGAAGCAAGACTTCCTGGCCTGAGGTCAAGTTCTGATTCAGCCGCTTAACAGCTGAGTTTAGCTAAATCGCACGGCCTGGCTCAGCTTCATTTTTCAAGTTAATCCTGACCTGGTGAGGACGTTGCGAGGATCTAGCTGGAGAGGAACACGCCCGAGGCTGAACAGGCGCTTTTTGTTTTGCGGCTTTCTTTTCCTTTCACAGTCGCGCCCTCCCAAGCCTAATCGCCCCAGCCCCTCTCACCAAACACCTCAACACCACCCTCGCACCCGGGCCGGAAGACACTTGCAGGTTGCCGGGCCCTCGCGCACGCAGACATTTCCTCTCTGCGAAAGGGTTCTCAGCTGCAGCCCCTCCAGGCCCGGCGCGCGGGTGAGCGAGCGGGCGTCAGCGGCGCCGTCTGCGCTTGCGCGTGCGCCTGCGCACCAGCGCCCGGGGACGGACGGGGGGAGAAGAAGGGGCCGGCCTTCGAGCGACAGCGACGCAAGATGGCAGCCACCACGGGCTCGGGTGAGCGGGGGCGGGCCCGGCCGGCCGAGGGGGTGCGGGCTGGGCTGGGGCCGGGGACCCGGGAAGGCCCTTGCAGTGGGGCCGGCGTCTCCGCGCCGCCCGGTCCGCAGGGCTTCGCAGAGTGGCCCTCGCGGCCCGACGGGGAGGAGGAGCAGGCGGCGGCCGGAAGCACGGGCGGGGGCCGAGGGGCCTGTGGGCGGCGCGGCGAGGCGCGGAGGCTCCGGGCGGCGGGAGGGCCCCGCGGCGGGCCAGACCGGGCGAGCCCCGCGGCGCTGCCGCGGAGGAGAGCGGGCCGGGAGGCCCCTCCGGGTGCGGCGCCCGGGATGTGTGCTCGCCGGATGGCGAGGAGCCCGGGGGCGGGCGGGCGGAGGAGCGCGGCCCGGCGACGGAGCAGCCCGCACGGCCAGGCGTTGGCCGCAAAGTCCGCAGGTTAGGGACGGAAGTGTCGCCTGGCTGCCTGGGGGAAGAAGGCCATCTCCATGGGGCCGGTGGGAGCGGGGAGGGGCAGTGGCCAGGGCCGGGCTAGGGCGACCCAGGGGCACCCCAGCACTAGCAGGCCATATCTGAGGGGACAGGTGACTCCTCCTAGTGAGGCTGCGGAGGCCATCTGCGGGCTGGGCGGAAGAGGTGTCTTGGGAGTGGCAGCCGTGGCAAGGCCCCCCGCAGTGGGTCCAGACGTGATTCCTTAGAGGGGGACTTCTCCTGTCCTGCCCTGGGTCAGGGGGGCAGACCTGGAAGTGCCTGTCCGGTGGAGCCACTACTCCTTTTCACTTTTGGATAACTGGGACAGACTGGTGCCTTCAGCTCAGAAGTTCCCCATTGGCCAGATGGGAGGGACAGATGAGAACTCTTGGGTGACTATGGGGAAGGACAGCCAAGAGGGAATACTCCTGAGGGAGGGACTCTGGTGGTCCCTGGTAGGTTCAGGGAAGCAGCACTTGGAGACTGGATCTCCTGCTGAGCACACTTAAAGGGGCCAGGAGGGGACACTTGAAGGAGCTGTTTGAGGATTAGCATTCTGCACTTGAACATCTGGAAATGGACTCAGATGGTCTTGGAGGTGGGTTGGTCATTGGCTGCGGACGATTCCTCCGGGGGGGCTGATGGCGGAAGAGAGTTAGAGCCCGGAAGTTCAGGAATTTGGGGGAGATTCTCTACCTTTTAATGAGGAGGCTGCATCCTCAGCCCAGGAGGTACCCCCAGATAGGGTGATGGTGGGTTGCCTCTGATAGAGGGAGCAGACAGGGACACCAGCCTGGGTACGAAAGTCCTTGGGTGTAAGATAGGGCAGGGTCAGGAGGGGGGTGGAAGTGTGGGGGACCTCATCTTCTCAGGATGTCTCTTCTAGTGTCTGAGTATGACTGATAGGGTAGGAACTGCTAGAATTGAATGCAGAGGATCTAATTAAAGTGATCCATCACAGACTGCCTTTTACATTGCCTTGTACATTTAAGTCAGCAGAGTCTCCCTGGAGCATAGAGGAGCCGGTGCAGCCTTTAACTAGATTTTGGTTTCAGTTGGTACATTGCTGAGTCAGTTCATTTACCAAAACACTACCACAGGCACTCCCAGGAGACAGAGGCTGAGTCAGGGCAGGCTGCTGGGGGAACTTCTCACCAGAATACCACCCCTGCCAGGTTGCTGTGAGCTGGAGAATGCAGTGTGTCCGAGGCAGCCATTGTTACCATGCAACTCAGCCTTGTTGGCAGTTGCTTGAGATCAGCTACCTACTACAGTCCAGTTTAACAACTCCTTAATTCTAACTTCCTGAGGCCCTACCAGTGTTAGAGGGCTTCATAAATGCTAGGGCAATCAGAAAACATTAGCAGCTGCTGTCTAGTGGACTCCAGGGGCACTCGGCATGGCTTAGATATAGAACAGGCTTTGAGGCACCCTATACTGGTCTTCCCAAAATGGACATTTGCTGAAGGCCTGTATGTCCTATCATAGATAGCAAACAGGATGGATGTAGCCCCTGTCCTTGAGGAGTTCTGTTCAAATTAGGGAGGAGGCTATTAAGGAAGCAAATAATTAAGAATATTTTCAGCCAGGTGTGGTAGTGAATACCTGTAATCCCAGCAACTTGGGAGGCTGAAGCAGGAGGATCCCAAGTTTAAATCCAGCCTCAGCAACTTAGGCCCTAAGCAACTTAGACTTGTCTCAAAAAAAAAAAAAAGAAAAGAAAAGAAAAGGGCTGGGGATGTGGCTCAGTGGTTAAGCACACCTGGATTCAATCTCCAATACCAAAAACAAACAAGAATATTTTCACATACAGGGAGTGCTGTGAAGGAAATTGGGTGATGTGATAGTGTCCGGAGAAATGGTCAAGGTAGGCTTCTCTGGGAAAGTGGCATTTGAACTGAGACAGATGATGGAAAGAACCAACCCTGCAACTTGTGTCATAGGGAGGACTGTCCATGCCAAGGCCCTGTGGTGGCTCTGAGCTTGACATGTTGAAAGAACAGAATAAAATTCCTCGGTGTGTGAGGGAGACTTGTTATGGAGTCCAGTCATGGAGGTGTAGCTTTGGGTTTTATGAAGTACAAGGGGAAGCTATTGAATGAGTATCTGATATGAAATGGGCTTTAGGAAGTGTGTGTTTAATGAATGCTTTAAAATGACCTGTGGCCACAGGCAGTGAAGGTGTGTAGTACAGGCTTTCTAACCCTGAGAAGTTTGTCAGGTGTGTTGCGGAGCCTGTGCCCAGGTTTAAAGAGAACCTTTTGATTAATCTGTGCCCTTGACGCCAGGAGAGAGTCGTGAAGCCTTGAGTTCCTGCAGAGGCTGGACTTGGTTTCATGGTCAGCACTTGCTGCACCACCTTCCTCTCATTTCCCTTGGGTCTGTGATGTGCGCTTTCGCACAGATCCTGGAGAGTAGAACTGTGAAACATCCCTCTCAGTCCCTTAGGATGCCACACTGTGACTGGTGGATTTCTCCTGCCTTGTCCAGTAGTGCAGGATCTCAGACAGTGGTCCTTGCTGTCACCCAGCAGCCCACAGACTTCCCTGACAGTGAACTAGAAACCAAGTGCAAGAAGAGTGAACCCTAGCTGGGCATGACTTCAAATTTGCATACCTAGGAGTGGCTCCCGTACACATCTGGTTTATGGCAGGTTAACCATGTGGGCAGTGGAGATTAAACAGTTGTCCCTTCTGTTCAAGGGTGTTTCCCAGAGAAAGCCGGAGATGAGAACTCATAGTCCCTTAGTAGGTCTCAGTTCCCCTATGTCTCACTGTGAGCCATCTTGAATCAACTGTAGTTAAGTGACTTTTGCAGTGTGGTCCCTGCAGTCAAGGAAGGAACTCCATGTTGGCTCAGCCAGAGAGCCTGCAGTGTGCTCAGTGACGCGGGAACTGGCTTAGCTGGGCCAGTGCCAGCTGTTCTGTTAAGGGACCTCCAGGGTTCATTTCAGTGTTGATTTTGTCCCTTCCACATTAACTTTAAAATCACCCTGTTCCTTCCCCCCTTCCTCTTTCTCCTCCTCATTGTTCCTCCTCCATTTTGAATTGAACTCTACAGTAGTTTGATCAAAGTAGACTACAACCGTGAATCTGCCTAATTCTAAAAGGCCACAGGGAGGTACAGAGCAGCACATTTGGTGGAGTAAATATTGTGAAATTACTGCTTTCGTGCTGCATGTGGTGCTTTGGAGCATTCCAAGGACTTTGCTGGCCTTTCCTGTTGTCTCCTCTTCGCGCTCACAGCCCGGTGAGCTAACAGGGCAGGTGTCAGTTACTGAGGGAAGAACTAAAAGTTGAAGGAGCTGGTGGCTGGCTGAGAAGCGGTGGTGGTCACACCAGAGCCCATTTTGACTGCAGCCCCCCGCTGCACACACACCCTGCTCCAGGACCTTAGGAAACAGGTGGAAAGGCGTGGATTTGACATGTTCTTCCTGAGTCTTGGAGGGTTTATAATCTTGGGAAAGAAAGGACTCGAATGAGAAGTGTCTGCCGTCCACTTCAGGAACCCTTTTTTATAGCATCCCTAGCCATTGTGTGTCCCCTGCTGGGTCATGGGAGTTGGGACCGTTTTTAGGGAAGTGCTTGCATGTACCCTGTTCTGAGTAACATACCCGCTGGGCCTGGGCCAGTAGCTCACGTGCAGGTCCTGGCCCTGGTCTGCAGCAGGCCCTGGGACCTCTGGGGGTTGCCCACTGGACTATTATCTCCGGCCCCATTGCCTCTTCTCCAGAGCCGGCATTGCGGGCCCTCAGCCCTGGGCCTCTGTCCACATTTCTGCCTCGGCCACGCAGTTTCCCTCGAGTTGATGAGAGTGGATGGTGTTTGGCAGGAGTCTTTCCTCAGCTTCACAGCCACCCTGTCACAGGTCCAGCCGGTGTAACCCCAGTCCCCTCCATCCCCCTTGTCGTCCTGTAACCAGAACACCACCTTTCTCCTGTGTGGAAGTCGGGAGAGCTGCTTTGACTTGCCCTTTTCTAATACATTTTCTATACAGGAAGCAGAATGTCAAAACTGTCATTTCCCCTCAGAAAGCCCTTCCTGTTGCACTTGAAGAATAAACTCAGGATTTTCCCATGGCCCATAAGGCGCTGAGAGGTCCTGGCCCTGCACCCGCTGCCTCACATGGTGGCGCGCGCTCCTGTTCTTGCTTTTCCCCTGCTGGGTGTGCTGTGGCCCCAGGTCTCCATGTGCCCGGCTGCTTCTTATTCTTCAGGTTGCAACACTCCCCAGAAAGCTCATCCCTTGCCACCTCATGCATGGAATGGTTTTTTGTTCTGTTTTGATACCAAGGATTGAACCCAGGGCACTTAACCACTGAGCTACCTCCTCAGCCCTCTTTATTTTTTGAGACAGGGACTCGCTGGGTTGCTGAGGCTGGCCTTGAGCCTGTGTTCCTCCTGCCTAGCCTCCCAAGTCACTGGGATT